TAGTAGTAGTGCGTACTTACGTAGTAGTTAGTTATTACTTATATACAACACATATATATATATATATATATATATATATATATATATATATGAGTAATGATCATATAAGACGCTCCCACACCTATGTGTGTAGGACCTTAAAGGATGACAAAAATCTCTACAAAAGTTATTACATGGGTGTGGGACTTAACTTTTCTTGAGATCTATTTCAAATTTAATGGTGATCCTTTGGTCCTACATACATGAGTGTGGAAAGGTCTCACAAGGTCATTTACCTCTCTCTCTCTTTCTCTCTTTATATATATAATTTTCCCAAAAAAACTATATTTCTACCCTTGTAAAGTCTATAAAGAGAGGGGGGAGACCTTTGTTTTTGCCATAAGTAAATTGTTTTTCCCACAGTGATTAATTTTTAAGGACTAATTCAACCAAAAAAAAAAATGATAGAATGAGGCCATGTAGATAAGGTCAATATACAATCATTGTCAAAAATAAAATTCAAACAATGTTTGGCCCAAAAAAAAAAAAAAAAAAAAAGGAAAAGAAGAAACGAATGTTTCGCAAAAAAAACGTTTCGTTCAACCTCGTTGCCACGTGTCATCCAAGTCTTCACCCCATAATAAATTCTATAACATGCCAAATATTACCAAAACAAAGTGCATTATTTCCAGAAACGAACCAACTTTTTCTATTTTGTTTTATTTTTATTTTTTTGGTAAATAACCAAATGCACTATTTAATCATTTTCAGGGTTGTTACGGGAAAATCTTGTATTTTTGGGCATTTCAAGGTTACATTTACCATAGTGCCCTCATGATGTTATTTTCATCCTCTGAAATCATATGGCTACATGCAATGGTCATGAGCAATCATCACCTTCCAATTAGTGGATCGGAGGGTGGTGGCTAGCGCATTGATGAAATATTGTTTTAAAGCAAGGTTTGGTGTGCCCCAGTATGTATTCTTTCAATCACCACCTATGCCATTGATTGGATGGTGATGACCCTTATGACTTTGTACTTGGTTTATTCGTGCGGATCATAATCTACATTTAAAATCTAAAAGGGAAAGTTGGGTCAGCTTGTATGGACTTTTTAGAGAAACCTCAAACCCTTGACCTTCTTCACCTAAACCATTCCGATCCAAATATGTCTCTTAGTAGTTAAAAAAAACCTATTTTTTGGTATCACTTTATGTATTCTTTTATTTTTGAATGAAGTTGCACGGCTAACGTTCCAAAAAAAAAGAAAAAAAGAAGTAATTGATGGCCCATTCGTTATTCAGATGGTGCAAAACACATGTTGTGCATCTCTAGCTTGAGGCGCCGCCCCTCCATGTGTCACACAAACATCGTAAACGCATGCACGTGCGAATGTTCTTCTCATGAAATATTAAAAAATAACTTCTAAATGCAAGCTTCCTGCTACTAAGGGCTAATCTTACCTGAAACTGGGAGTGCTTTAAAGCAACAAACTTCTATGTTTGGAGTGTACAGTTCTGTTCTGATTTTTTATTTGGAATTGCATGTCTTCCTTGTTGTAAATACTAAGCAAAGGGGGAGTTATCTAACATATAAATTTATCCATTTTCAACTATTCCAAATTTCCAACTCATGATCACGGAACTTTTCAAATTAATTTCAAATGAATGGACAAAATGTTAAATAGTTCATTTCTTTGATGCATTTTGATAAATTTATCCTTAAAAAGAAATCCCAAAGGTACATGCATATGAAATATATACTCCACGATGACATCCACCAACTATCCGTAACAAGGTGCAGTGGAGATCAGTCATTGTTTTCCATGACACTTAATTCGAGCAATGTTAATCATCACCGTCCAAACCAAGGAAAGGGTGGTGCAGGCCCTATGGTGTATTGTATACCTAGTGAGTAACATACTGTTCCCAACTTCTAAAGCCCATGGACCTATTCATAACTCAACTTAGTCCAATGTTTAAAAAGTCAGATTGCTGGGTCGAACCCAACAGTTTCGAGTCGTGCTAGGCTCTATCCAGAATTTGGCCGAAATAAAAGGATAAGATTTCCAAAACATATAAATAAAATTTTAGAGGTTTAAAATGTTTAAACATGGTTGAGAGCTACAAAACATTCTAAAAACAATAGATTTACATAAAAATTTAATTTTTCCATAATATGATTTGCCGGTGTATTAGGCCGAGTTGGGTAGAAATCGGCTTGGTTAACAGGTTGTTTTTGTTCGTCTCGGCGATTCCGATCCGATTTTTTAAATAACACTAATTGGGTCATTTTTAAGCAGAAGGCAATTCTGTAATTCTCAATTTACAGGGCTAATTCCCTAATATCATCAAAGTTTGGGGTGATTTTACAAGTCGGGAGAATCCTTAAAAGCAAACGCTCAGGGCATCAGTCTCCGTTATCAAGCAATAGATCTTCAGAGGACACGTGTCATATTTATAACAAATCAACGGCGCATATATGCTCTCATTACGTAACCGGTTGAGATTGCGCTCCTACTTTGCAACTAAAGGTCACAACCGTTCATCCTTCATGAGCTGGTACTTTTTTTTATTTTTATTTTATTTTTAATTTTAAGTGGTTTAGAGTTTTGGGTTTGACCCAAATCTTAATTCTTCAACCAAATTTGTGATTGTGGGACATGTATAGGGTACCTACATATCCTCAATCTATATTTATATATTTTAATTTTTATTGTGTGTTTTCGTTTATTTTTTCCCATGGATTTTAGCTGTGTTTTTAGGTATTTTTTTTTATCAATTAAATTTTAAGGGTCCAGACCCCAAAAATTGCAATCCTTGTCCTTTTCTCTCTCTAACCGTGATAATTGGTCTCCTTTTCTCTCTCTAATTGTCAAAATTTATCCCTCTTATCATAATTGGTTATTTATATATTAACTAGATCCTGTTATTCTGGTCTCTCTTAGATACTTTCATATCTAACTTAATTGGGTTTTTTTTTTCTTTTATTAGAGATCTTATTTTGGTGGATTATAATTGTATTAGGAGATCTTTTATGGGTGTGTTCTAGTTATATTGTATTTGGTATTTCTGAATAATTTTTTATTTTATATAAATGGAAATTCATGGGTTCATCCCTGGTTCTATGATGGTGTTGATGTTCCATGATTAGTTGCGCATTCCCTTTTGAAGGGCACCTATGCCATAAAATGTATGAGAACTTGTTTTTTTATTTTTTTATATTTTTTATGTGTTTGTATTCTATTTTTCATAGTTTCTTAATTTATGCTTTTGTTTAGTATTCTGCGAATTATTAAGTGATTACGGTGGATGTGAATAATGGGTGGTATTTGTTTTCTGATCTTTGATAAAGTTCTTATTCTTTTGGGTATTGGTGAATTTTTCAGATTTGGGTAGACTTGAAGGTAGGCTTTCATATTAACTTTTCAATAATCTATGACTACGCATGGAGAGTGGAAATTCTGATTGGTTGAGAGCGAATTGATTGGTTGCCCTAGCTTTCATGGGTGAGAGAAATTGGCAACAACAGGTGAGATTTGTTGTCCATTAATCCACCTTTAATAACTCAACAAAATTAGTTTTTTTTTTTTTGCTGCTTGTTTAGATTTTGGAAATTAGACGTTGTTGTGATCCTTTGATTGGAAGACCAATGTATGTGTTTATGTGTGCATATTTACTTATCTATAATATTATAAATTGATCTCTTTAATCGCGCATGCATCTATGATTATATGTACGTTTTTGTGGATGCAAACATTGTCCATTTCTTTTGAACTAACTTTTAGATAGGAGCAAGGGGCATGCTATATTATTCTTGTTTGAGATGATTGAAATTGACCCATAAGGTTATCTAGCATGTTCTATAATGTGATGAACCATGTTTAATTTGTTTTAATTAGATCTCATCTCTGATAATTTTTTAAATTGGTTGAGATATGTCAGAGATCTACTATCTACCATCATCACTGGTTGCTATATTATTAGCTGGAGTGCTTTTGTTTCTTTAGCCCTATTACTCTATGGAATTTTCTCTATCAGATTTGTGACTTTTGATAATGGTGGACTGAACATTCTCTTTTCCATGGTTCTTAGTCATGACATGTTTTGAATCTGCAATTTCTTTGGTTTGATATTTTTCACTAAAAAAACATATAACCTTTGAGAAGGTTTCATTTCTGCTGAATTTAACATGAGTGGAACACTGTTCTTGCAATTTGGGGGAGAAAGGAATCCAAAGTCCAAACGTATCGGATGTATTAGGACGCGAGGTAGTTTAGATTAACTCCTTCCAGAAACTGAGACTAATTGGAATATGGAGAAGAAAATTGTTCACAAGATGAATAATTGACAAAACTTATGATGTAGTTCTTTCCTTAGTAAAAAATTGATATATCTAGGATTTATGTAAAACATTCTGGTCGCTTGAAGTTTGGGGAGGTCAATGGCACTTTGATTTGCCTTGGCAGCCCTCAACGTGTCAAGAGGTGAGAACCTGGGATGTTGGAGCCACAAGATCAAGTGGAGCTATATGGTTGAGTAACAGAAGAGTGGATTCTTAAGTCATCAAGGGAATGTGGTAATCTTAAAGTTGGTGAAGATGAAGGTAACCCGATCAATAGATGGAGGTGTTGGGCCTTTTTTTTGGGAGGGGAGGCGAAGCAATTATGGCTGGAGAAGTACTTAGAGGTGTACTATTAAGGCAAGATGTGTTGTGATCTTTCCTAGTGGTAACTCTTTATCCCATGGTCATCTTGCTTTTGCAATAGAAATAAGGTTACCATCTCTAGATGTGAGTCATTCCAATTTGTGTTATAGTATTTGAAGTAGGACTGATGCTATCCCATTTTTAGTTTGAAAGGGAAGTTCCCCAGATTATGGTTGATGATCTGAGTAGAATGGGCAATATCATTTTGGTTTCAAAGTGTTGGTTAACTAAGATCAAAAGTTGAACTAGTAATCAACTTTTACAAGTGTTGCCATTAGGGTTTGTGGAACTTGAGGGCTGCTAAAGACATTTGCCATGATTTGTATCTTCCGATTAATGACATTTCTGATGACCTTTGTGGAGCTCAATTAGGATCACTATAAGGGGCTTTAATAGTTTGGTGCCATGCAAATATGTAAATGATTCTCTCCCGTAGCTGTTGTGCTTGGTAGATTACCAGGGAGGGGAATATAGTAATATACTTTCAGAGGATGAAAATGAGATGGGTGACTTGTCTAATAGTGTGATACATGGAATGCCAACCAATTCCTTGAGAGTGTCTTAGAAGAGAACCAGGAGGGGTGATAATGGAGCAATAAACGTAACAAGGTGTGGGCCGTGTTACATTGCATGGACACCGTCATGCACATTCGTGCCTAGTGCAGGATTCTGAAAAGCTATTACTTTTTGACACATTCATATAGTACTTTAGTCCATTTTGACACATTCATGCAGTACTTTACTCCTTAATTTATAGATGTTTGTATCACTTTCCATTTTCCAATGATTAAAACAAGAGGGTCAGTGGCCTAGATGGCAGCGCATCTCCTTTAAGGCAAGAGAGAGAGGTCGCAGTTTCAAAACCCACAGGTGTACTCTTTGGTGTCATTTATTATGGCTTCATATTTTCCTGTAGCAAGAGTAGGTATATAAAAATCTAAGTAATATTCAAGCATATTACAAGCACCTTATGGTGGAGTGGACCTCGCTCGAGAAAAGGTCCTGGGTTCAGTTTGAGCAGGGCATAAAACTTTTTTCCCTCATTTTCCATAATGCACAATACGGGGATATGGCGTGTCTTTAAATCCGGCATTCCTGTACAAAGTGTCAACATGTATCACCAATGCCTCAAATCCCCCAACACTTATGGTCAAGGTGTTGGGAAAGTGTCTACAAGTGTCGACACTTGACACAATGGGAAAATTGGAGTTCTAAGCTAAGGTTTAAGGACCACAAGGAACACAAGCATGCAAAGTATTGAAGGGGTGGTGGAATAGGAAACAACATATTTACCCGGCTCAAAATTGGGAAGGGGGGGAGGGGTCCCTCAGGTTGGGTTGGAGGTGTGAAAGGGGTGTTAGGACATTTTTTGAGAGGGATATTGGGGCTTTTCATATGAGTATGGTGGTTTGCAAAGGGTGGGGAAATTATGGATAGGGGAGAAGGAGGAACGTGGCCCGTGTTGCTCAGATTCACCATTTTGGCCATGGCAACATGTTTTAGAATGTTTGGAAATGCAAAATGATTAAAGAAATGGCTAGAGATTGCATTACTTTATTTAATGTAGAAAGTAAGTGATATGCTTGGGTGCTGTTATATTGGTTTTGATGCTGTTGATGGAAATACTAGATCTGATGTTCTGCCTTGTAACCTTTTTTATGTAATTTTTTATTGGTTTTGATTATGGTTTTTTATTTTAAATATTTTCAATTTTTAAAAAATGAATGGATGGACATGTTTTCCCCTTCTGATTTCAGGGTGCAATGTCAGGCATCTGACAAACGTGTCTGAAACCAACAAATGTTTTGGTGTCTGGGTAACATAGGTTCTGGTTGAGAGAATGAGTAGGTGGGAAGGCTGAAGGCTACATGTTAAGAAAAGATTAGGGGGTCTACTATGAGGCCTTTGTTTAGATGGTACCTTTGGGGGCATTAGGTGAAACAGAAGGGTCACCACCTGTTGTCTGGTGACCTATGCTGCATGGTTACGATTGTGGACACTGCTCAAACATCATTTTTTGTGATTTACATATGTAAATTGGGTAACTGTAGTAGCGTTTACACGATTCTAGTTAGCTTTTTATTGGTTACGTTTAGTTCTGGGCTACATTTATCCTTCAATAGGTGCTTTTGTCATAGAGCTATAGATTTTGGATGGTGCATTAGGAGCTTATGAGTGTTTGGGCATGAGAAATAGGGAGAGTTTGTATGTATTAGTTGTGCTATCCAGTCTAAAGAATTTTTCTCTTGATATATGAACACGTGATCATACCTTTGTGAGTAATTTAGTGCTAGACAACAAAATATCTTTTGTAAAATCCTTGCAAAAAATGGAGTTTAGTTTTTCTACGTGTTTTTGGCACAAATTAGAATAATCTCAAATCGAAATATTTTGAAAGCTGCTGTAAAGGGAATATCTTTGTTCAGTAATCAATTTCTATGAATGGTTTTAAAGACTAATGGCTTGAATTGGGTTAGCTTGTCTGGTGTAAGAACTCATTCACTCTTGATGATAATTAACCTCAAGGTCTATACTAATCTCCTACAGGGCAATGTTGGCAGTGGGAGTGGATGAATTAATAGGAAGCTTGGCTAGCTTATGGGCTAAATATACTACCCAATGTACTCAATATGTATTATTATTCCATAGTAGTATTTATCATAGTAGTATTTATTGGTTTTCATCTTTTCATAGGGTAGATACTAGTAAAATATCTTTTCATGGGCTTGATAAATGACCTTATGCTTGTCATCTAAAGTTGCCCTCTCATCAAGACAATGTCTTAAAGAAACTTGTAAGAATGTTCCTGTCGATATTTAAGTGGCTATTAATGCTTCTTTTTCATAAACAGACATTCAACTCTTTTGAATTTTTTCACAGGGAAAACTTGATGGGGACGGAATTCATTGGAACTCGCTTTAAAGAAGAAGTCAAGAAACTCCCTGAAATTACAAGTTGCTTGTTAGATACATTTTCTAACTTGAACAGGATCCTTTCTGATGGTGCAATGGCTCTCGAAGGTGTGGTGGATTCCTCTACTCCACAAGTGACGCGGGCAAATGTTGAATCCAGCATTGTTGATGGGGCTACTGATGATGGAGTGAAGTTCACCCGTTCCCTAAGGAGCAGGTCTTGCATTAATTATGGGCAATTTTATAATAGCTCAGACGATGAATTGGACACCAAACGACCTGTTCAGGTCAAGATCTTTATATTACGGTTGTGTTCCACTTCTTTCAGTCTGCTTCTTAATTGAAAATTTTTTGGGTGACTAGACTATTAAAGATGATCGTACAAACTCATGCATAGGTTTCTAAGCAGCTTGGCATTGAAAACATGCCCTCAGAGGTCTTGGAGAATGGACTAAATAGGAATCAAACATTATGACTTGTGAAACTAAGCAATTTTTAATTTCAAAAGTTCATATGCTGAAGTGAGATTACAAATTCTTTTGATATATCCTCACATGACTAAATGAGTGAGGGATTGGAATATTTTCTTAGCAGTTTCTGACCTCCTGAAAAAGTTTGCTTGACTTCAATTTAATGATCCATGACACTGCATCGTACTTTTTTTGTTTTTTACTCAACTAATTGTTGCCCAATGACAATGACTGTTTCTCTATGCAGGATAACTTCTCAAGGCATTCCCGACAAAGTGACGAACTCTCAAGCTGTACAGGACATCAGAAGGCAAGTTCCTTTATGCCTTGCACATTTTGAGTATCCCTATTTCTTTAAATATGTACCTATTTAAACCAATGTGACATTGTTGAAATAGGTTTCAGGAAGGTGGCGTCCAAAAGAAGCATGCAGGCCTATAATTGATGATGCTCCCGTCTTCCATCCTAGTGAACAAGTAAATTCCTATCTTACTGCTTATGCAGTTTGTCGTATTTCTTTATTTCTAGTAAATAATAGCAAAATTACTTTTCGATAAGGACATGGTTTCTATGAGTCCATATAGAAATGAGTCACCTCTTAAAAATCTATTTGTACCATCTCTTGCCCAAGGGAGCAGAGAATATGTTAAGTTCTATTGAAAGAGCACAGACAAAGAGATTCACAGACACTGGGTTCTTCCATTTACTGGGAAAGTATACCATAGTCATTCTCTGTTTTACTCCAAGCTACATCCTCTATCCACTCCAACTGATGGACAGATGGAGCTAAACTGTACCTGGGTGATTCTCCATGTGGCCTCTCATTCAATATATATCTAACCATCCATCAGTGGTGAAGATGTAGCTTTGGAGTATTACATAACATTGTCTATTGGACCATCGCATACTTGGCCATTATTATTTGCTTGCAATTGATATTTCCTGGCTTCTTGATGCCCTTGAAATTTAAAAGCCACATTTTTTTTTGGGTTAGGAGTTTGAGGATACGATTGGGTACATTGCAAGCATCCGCCATATAGTGGAACCATATGGCATATGTCGTATTGTTCCTCCTTCTTCGTGGAAGCCTCCTTGCCCTTTAAAAGAGAGAAGCATTTGGGAAAAGGCTAAGTTTGCTACTCGTGTCCAGCAAGTTGACAAGCTTCAAAACCGAGAACCCATGAGGAAGAAATCAAGGAACCGTAGTAACAGAAAGAGGAAAAGAAGAAAGCGTTTAAGAACCGCTATGCCTTGTAGACGTGATGATTCGGATGGCCCTGAAGTTGATGAACCTGCCTCTGATGGGGATGAGAGATTTGGGTTTCAGTCTGGTTCAGAGTATACACTAGAAGATTTTGAGAAATATGCAGATGACTTTAAGGACAAATATTTTGGTATAGATAGAAGATGTAAAGGTTCAAGCTCCAGTTGTGATGATCCTGAATTACGGCGGGAGCCATCTGTTGATGATATTGAAGGAGAATATTGGCGGATGGTTGAGAAACCGACTGAAGAGATTGAGGTAGTCAAAAAGGGCTTTTTTATCTTGTCATCCTTGGGAAAGTATACTATAATTCAGAGGACTATAGTTTACCGTCCAATGAAATGATGGATGGTGATTGAGAGAGAAGAACCTACCATTTTGGGCCGATTATGGTTTGCTATGTTCCATTGGATTATAATATACTTTCGGGTGTGTACATTTGGAATTTGGATTTATCTTCTATTGTTCTGCAGGTTCATTATGGTGCAGATTTGGAAACTGGAAAATTTGGGAGTGGGTTTCCTAAAGCAACCTTGGGATCTCAGACTAACTGCAACAAATATGTGAAATCGGGTTGGAATTTAAATAATTTTTCTCGACTTCCTGGGTCCTTGCTCTCTTTTGAACATGGAGATATTTCTGGGGTTCAGGTTCCTTGGCTGTATATAGGGATGTGCTTTTCATCATTTTGCTGGGTAAGTTGTTGGTGTTATCCTAGTTTGGTAGCTACATCTTTTTTTAACTGGGACTTGGTATTGATTGGTTGGGAAATTGTATAATTATCCGTTAACCTAAAGAAGAACCTTAGCCAATTGGGGTCATATCACCGTCCAATGAAATGGACTGTTACAAATGAGATGGTGGGACCAATCACTGGGCTCATGTCCTGTCCTGGCAGGTCCCTTTCTTTCTTCATCCCCTCCATTTTGGTTGATGATGATTCCTATTGGTGATGGTTTTCCATAGTCCATTGGACTACAGTATACCTCCTCTTTAGCATGGTTACATGACAAGTTGGGTATGTTTTAGTTCTTCCTGCTAATGCCTTTTATTGGACTGGGTTGTTTATGTGAACAGCATGTGGAGGATCACCACTTCTATTCGTTGAATTACTTGCATTGGGGGGCTCCAAAAGTATGGTATGGGGTATCAGGAAAGGATGCTCTGAAGTTGGAGGAGGCCATGAGAAAGCATTTACCGGCTTTATTTGAAGAGCAACCTGATTTACTAAATAAACTTGTAAGTTATGATTGGCCACTCATCTTTTTGTGCATAAATTTTACAATATTTGCAATTGAGAAAGGAAATAATTTTTGTGGAGAATATGTATGAGACAACCTTTTCACATGTTATCGTGTTGAGAATTATTGCAAATGTAGAATATGTGAAAGGAAGAAGTTACCATTCTGTAGTTTCTGAAAATGTTTTACCTACCTGAAATACCATAGTTACCTACCTGAAATACCATAGTTGCAAACTCCCGATAATACAAAAAGAAAATTAACTTGATTTAGGGAAAGTATAGTATATTTTTCCATTAGTTTGGATAATGCTCGGAAGATGATGATGTTGATAATGATAGTATAGTTTCCATTAGTCTATTGGGGTCATCACCGAAACAATGGGCAATGGATCAAGATAGTGGGACCCACCTTTAGGGTCATGTCTTTTCTGGTATTGATTGTTGTCCACCATTTTATTCATCCGAACGAACAATGGTTTTCAGTAGTACATTGGGTCAGATTTCGCCTTTTATTTCATTCAAAATTGATTCTGGAAAAAGAAGTTCTATCTAAAACTCCTGTGTCGTGTGGGCATTTTTACAGGTCACTCAGCTGAGTCCCTCAGTTTTGAAATTCGAGAACGTGCCTGTGTTTCGAGTTGTTCAAAACTCCGGTGAATTTGTTCTCACTTTTCCAAGGGCCTATCACTCTGGCTTCAATTGTGGCTTTAACTGTGCAGAGGCTGTGAATGTTGCCCCAGTTGATTGGTTGCCCCATGGGCAAAGCGCTGTGGAGATTTATAGCGAGCAACGAAGGAAAACATCAGTTTCCCATGACAAATTGCTTCTTGGGGCTGCTCGAGAAGCTGTTAAGGTGCTTTGGGATTTATTGATACTAAAACAAGATGACCCACAAAATGAGAGATGGAGAAGTGTTTGTGGAATGGATGGCATACTAACAAATGCAGTCCAGGTAAATTTTTAGTTAAAGTTCGTGCTTTTTTGAAAGTAAAGATTTTACCATGATTTAGTGGAGTATGAAATGTGGTGGTCTAAACGCACCTGCCATTTGTTACTGATGGTAGACAGTGGAGATTCACTATGGAGGGGCGTACCAAGACATTCACCCTGAAATTGTTAATCTGCTCCATCCGCTATCAAGAATGGATGGTTGATACCCTTTGGAGTACCATGTATCATACTTGATTGGATTATGGCTTATTGTTCTTCTGTAAAATGGCAGATATCTCAGATGTGCCATGTGAAAAATAAAACTTTTATGTTGGTGCCAAAGCTAAAATTTCCAAACATTTGGACCAAATTTTTACTTAAAAATGGTAATTTCCAACAATAAGGATGTGAAGACATTTAGAGTTTTGATCGGGTTCTGGCTGAATTTCTACTCAAACTCAGATTCAGAATTCGGAATAAGGTTCTGCTTTCTAAAAGAATAGCTTGTTAAGTCTTGGGAAAATTTTGCTAGCTTTCTCTCTGAATTTCGGTTGTTTTCTAGAAATCTTAGCAAAATTTCATGCTGTAATTGCCAGTGAGGCTCTTTGACTTTCTGAATTATTATTTATTATTTCTCCAGACACGTGTAGAGATGGAGCGTGACAGAAGAGAGTCCCTCTCAGATCTTTCTCAGACTAGGAAGATGAGCAAAGATTTTGATGCGACCCAAGAAAGGGAATGTTTTTTTTGTTTCTATGATTTGCACCTCTCTGCATCAGGTTGTGAGTGCTCACCAAATCGATTTGCATGTTTAAACCATTTCAAGCAACTATGCTCTTGTGATTTGAGCAGGACGGTATTCCTCTTTCGCTACACCATGATGGAACTAAACTCACTGATTAAAGCCTTGGAAGGAGATAAAAGCGCCATAGAATGGTGGGCATCAAAAGAACTTGGCGTGGTTTTGAATTCTCATGAGCAGTCTTTAGAAATACCAGCTGAAGACAAGTTTGAAGTAGAAAAACCAGTTGAACTCAACTTGGAGGCATATTTGGGGAGCACGAATTCTGAAGAGATTAAAGCACAGGGATCTGAGAGGATGTTGATTGATATAAACTTAAATGTTCATGAGGCCAATTTCCTTGAGCAAAATCCAGAATCAGAGATTTTTATAGATAATATCCGTTCTGAAGCTCAGGTAATGGAAGAAATCCCAGATATGAATAAGCCATGCACGGGTGAATATGAAGACACAGCCCCAAAATATGATATACCATCTTCGAGGTTTATTGAACATGCCAAGGGAAAACATATGGTTCTTATTGTTCAAGAAACGAAACAGAGAGAGATTCCTGTCATGGAAGTCAAAAGAGAAGTGGGTTCTTCAACTTATGGCAAAAATGTAGTCTTAGGCTTGCCTGCCTCGTTTGGTAAACAGCGTGTAGTTAGAGAGGGAGCTCGGGTTTCAAAGAAGTTCATGGAAACCCCAAGACAATTCACATGTCTAGAGACTGGTAATGTTAAAGATCATGGAAAAACTGATAGAGGTCGTGAGGAGTTTGACTTCATGAGACTAGGTGAACATGGTGCTAAGTTGGGTTCTGATCATCTCACCTCTTCTTTTTTTAACAAATCTGTTGAAGAAGGCTGTCATATATCTCATATTTCTAATGGACTCCAAGGATTCAATTCTGATGTTGAGCTTCTAGATCTTGGAATTGTGGTCCCTGGTAGTCGTTGGTGCAATGAGAAGACGGCATTTCCTAAAGGTATGATGTACTCAAACCTGCTTCTTCAACATATTGGGGTAGCGGCAAAAATCTTTTGAAACTCCTCCTCATTTTGCATTAGTCCAGAGGAAACTTCGACATGTTCTCTTTTTTTCTGGAAAGGAGTTCTTATATGTTTTCCTTTTTAGAGGATATCTGATATTTTGGTTGTTTTTCATGTGCAGGTTTCAGAAGTCGTGTCAGATTTTTTAGTGTGCTAGATCCCACGCAAATGTGTAGCTATATCTCAGAAGTCATTGATGGTGTATTTTTGGGGCCTTTATTCAAGGTGAGCAGTTTGATAATTTTTTTATCCTTTTCATATGTTGGCCTGGAAAGATTCTTCCTATTTTTTGAGACTTGTCATGCTTCTTTCCTTCTGTATTCTTCACTGCGAAAGACTTCATCTTGATAATACCCTACCGTATTTAACTATTAATTTTGCACCTTTCTGATCCATCCATGATCCAAGAAACTGTTGAGATAATTCAATCGTATTAGTATGAAAGTGATTAACACCTTCATGTATTTTATCCTAGAAGGAAGTTATACCTCTATTTTGCTTCTTCAAATTGGATAGAGATTTTCATTTCAGTGATTATTGTTGTTCCATGATTAGTTGGTTTTGCCTTCTTCCCTTTCATTGACCAAACAATAGTTGACGTTGTTGGATAATCTGAAATGTGATTAATCTAGCTAAAATTTATCCTAGCAAGCGTTCTGTCTTTTCTGTTCTCTACTTGTCATGCTTTTTTCGTACTGTATCTTTAATCGGGAAGGTAATGTTTGGTTTTATTGAATAAGTTGGTTTTCTTTGTGGAGTTAAAAAGAATTGATCTTGTCTTGGACTGATTTCCTTAATCCACTAAATTTTAGGTGGTGGTAGAGGACTGCCCGACTGAGTCATTCTCGCACTCCTCTGCCCGGGATTGTTGGGAGTTGGTGAGAGAGAGACTGAACCAAGAGATTCTTAGGCAGCGTAGCCTTGGGAAACACAACGTTCCACCTCTGCTTTCCCCTGAGTCTCTTGATGGCCTCGAAATGTTTGGGTTTTCTTCTCCTTCAATAATTCGGGTAAGCTAATCATATGATGCTTGTTTATCATAATAACTCTTAGCATATTACTTTGCAAATGCAGGGAAACTCAATTGGTTCTCAGAACTTTTGGAACCAAATTACTTATTACAAATGATTTTTGTTTGTAGTCATACATTCAGCCTCAAATTTCCTCCTCCATCATACTCTCTCTCTCTTTGCCTCAAATTTCCTGCTCCCCATCTTACTTAATTAGTTAATCAGTTAATTATTCTTTTGTTCTTTATAGTTTAGTGATTGGAAATGAACATAGGACTGTGTTGCAATCATCAACTCTTTAACCAATCTAGGCCCACTCCTGATTCCTTGCTGATGATGGTGGGTTTGATCCGCTACAAACTAACCCATTATTTGAAGGAAAATTGTTTCATGCGTGCTGGACCGCATTTCTACATATGCGGTCCAGAAAGTGTAAAGCATCCATCTTAAAAATGGATGCAAGTAGGTGTTCCATCTAAAAACAATGGAAACTAACGGTCCAAATGTTTTTTTACTAGAAATATTATTTCTAGTTTTTAAAATTTATTTATTTGTGTATATTCATGATCTCCATGTTAGAGATTACATGTCCTTAAAAATTAAGTCTTAAAATCCATCTCAAAAATAGATTTATTAAGAGGCCCACATTTCTATATATGCGGGCTTGGCCGCATAGAAACTGGGTCCTTATTTGAATCCTATAACTGATTTCAATTCCATCTTCTGAGTTGACACAGGCAATCAAAACTCCAAATCGTGACCACACATTTTCGGACAATTGGAGAACAAGGCCATTGATTGGTAAGCTTAACTTTGGAGAGGTTGACGTGAAGGATGTGCATGAGCCCCAAACCAAGAAGTTGTGCATTGGCGGCGAACACATATTGTACCAAATTGGAGAGAGCAGCATCATGGGCGTAACCGAGAAAACTGTTATAAGAGAAAATGATGTAAAGAAAGAGCAGAGAGGAGGGGGCGAGGAAGATGAGGTCTCATTCGAACGGGTTCAGTGTGTGCTCAGAGGGTTGTTTAGTAAGGCAAGCCCTGATGAATTGAGACTGATGCAAAGAGTTCTTGGCAGTGAAAAATGGAGCTCTGAATGGAGAGGAGCTTACGGGGCTCTGTTGGATGAGATTCAGAGGTTGTAGAGAGAGAGAGAGACATGGCTTTATTTAATGGAGCAAGACTGATGAAGCTGTGGCAAACTTTCTGCGTGGATCATTTACTCAGGACCTGGTTGAGAGAGAGGGAGAGAGAGAGAGAGAGAGAGAGAGAGGTAGGT